AAAAAAATACAAAAAAAATATGGGATGAAAAACAATCTCCGAGAATACTTTGTAGCGCTTTGTAGGGAAATTAAAATCAAAATTAAAATATCTACACCAGATGCTCCCTCAAGCTGCGTCGCGTACCTGCAGGTCTGCAGGTCGAAGAAGCGCACGTCGACGGGCCTGCCCGTCGCCTCGTCGTACTTGAACATCATGTTGTTGCGGTTGAAGTCGCCGTGCGCGATGACAGCCAGCGGCTCCTCGGGGCTGCGCGCCTCCAGCATCACGTTGAACACGCCGTCCGGGATGTCGTCGCGCCCGGCGCGCAGCCGGCGCCGGAGCTGCTCCACGGTGGCCGCGTCGAGGTCGCCGCGCGCCGCGAGCCGTCGCAGCCCGGGACCCGTGGTGCCGCCGATGAAGCCCGTCTGGTAAGCGCGGTTGGACTCGCCGAACTCGGCGTCCTGCAGCTGGCGCGCCAGGGACAGGAAGTCGCTTTTTCTGAGGACCTGCGGCACGATGGAGTTGCAAGCTCTTGGTTATTCAGTACTGTATTGGCAGGAGTTGTATTCAAAAAGTTGTGGACGCGCTGAAAACGTCCTCCAGTGTGTCACCCACCTTGGCGCCGTAGGACAGGGCGTGCATCCTGCCCAGGCGCTGCAGCGTCAGGAACACGTGCGCGCCGTCCAGGGCCGTCGCCGAGCTGGCCAGCCGGAAGCCGTCCGCCGACATGTCCTCCATGACCACCAGGGGGGTGGCGCCCTCCCCGCCCGCCGAGGCCCTGTAGCACCTGCGGCACAATCACAGCCATGCGACAAGCGGTGAGTGTCCCTGCCGCGCCCTGGTCAACCCAGACGGGTCGCACCGCACCGCACCGCCCAGGGGGGTAATGGTGCAGATTAGGGTCAGTGGGCGGGGCGGGGGCGAGCGGGGGCACCAACGCTGCGTGCGGGAAAAACAGCTGGTACCGGGTCAGCAGTGTTTGAACCCACCAGGCAGGGGGTGAGTATGCGTGTGTGTGTGTGCGTGACCACTCGTGCGTTATTGCATGGGAACCACTGCCGCCGGCGGCCGATGCGGTCGAGAGACCTGCTGACCTGCTGCATCAAGCGGGTTGTCGGGTAAAGGTAAAGAAGCGCGGCTGTGGTTGGTCCGATCGCTCGTCAAGCCAACAAGCCAATGCGCGGCCCGCCCCACACACACCCAGGAACTGTTAGTCGGGTTGTCAGGTTCAAGGTCCGTCCGATGGATATCCGGAATAAGTGAGAGGTGAGGGGGCGAGGTCCGTGAGTCCTTGTTGCACTCATGGGGCAGCGCCGCTTGAACGCTCTTCCCTTCCGAATCAGTCGCCTGCAAGGCCAGACCCGACGTACCCAACAACCCGCCCGATGCAGGAGTGCCGCCGCCGCAGCGCACGCCGATAGCTATCCACAAGGATTTCGCAGAATAGACGACCTGACCCATCCGCTGAAGGTTGGGAAATACATATTGAACGTTAGAATTTAACCTGTTTTTACTTATGTTCAAAAATATCTAATTAAAATGACTAAATTTGGCCCAAGTGAGGTTTCCCTTCATTAGGTTAACTTTCTGATAAATTTTTAAGCATCGGAGAGATCCATAGAGCCATTGAAAATTGTTTAGATTTGAATAGTTCTTGCTTATCGGACATTTCTACTTTTACATCTTGCGTGCAACTTTTCTCCGGAACTATTTGACCAAGAAACCTGGGTGGGGGCACATTGTAAAGAGAAATAGGCTCGGAAATAGGTCGGACAAAACCTAGCAGGCCAGACAGTACTTTTTAGGATTTTGGAAAAATCACCACCAGTCGGACAATCTAAATACACCCAATCGCCATGCTTTAACATTGTGACTTCCGTTTTCTTGTTCCATGCATTCTTCCGAATTTCAGCTTTATTGGAAAATGTAAAATAAATGTCTCAAAGAGATCGAAATACCCGACTCGTTGCGGGCGGTTCTGCAAACAGCTGGAGTGCCCGTCCCGACTACACACAACACACAAATGTGCCAATGATTTCATTGATAGAGAAAAATCCAATTCCCATCCACAGAGTTTCAAGGAAAACCAATCGGGCGCGTGGCAGGCGGTTCCTCTATGTTGCTGTATGCTGTGTGCTATGCACGCCCAACAGCTTGTCACACGAGACCGCGAACGGTCGGGACTGTGTATGACTCGGGAAGTGTTTGTGCCCTTGAGTTCGAATCGTTCTCGCGACGTCCGACAGGCAAGGCAACACCCCCCCCCCCTTTTCCCCTTTCATCCTTCTTTTACCCAGCCCGATCACAGTCTCTGACCGGAACCGAGCCCGGTCGTGGCGCTGGGGGCGGACCCAGCGGGGCGGACCCCAGGACCCCGTAGGCTGTCCGGCGAGGTCCGGCGGCATCCACCATAGAAACAACATAAAATTGGATGGTACAAGTTTAATAGACCGCTGGCCGCCCGCAGCCCCCCCCCCCTCCCCATCCCACGGGCCAGCTGAAAAATAAAGCCTCCCGGAACATAGGCAACACGACGAGGCGAATTTGCGGCCGGCAGCGGCACACACGAGCCGAGCCACGCACGACCCCGCGCGCCCACACGCAGGGCTAGTGCGCGGGGGAGGGGCCCGGGAGGGACCCGGGAGGGGGAACATGGTGCACCCGACTTTTTATTTGCAACGCGCACAACGCCGGGGTTGTTTAGGCCGGCACGCTGTTACGCACGCAGCGCTGGGACGGGCGGAAGAGAGGAGGGCCGTGCAGCCAAGAGACTGGTGTGCAGCAGCAGGGTTCTGCAGACGGTTCAAACTCAAATAGGGTATTGGACCTGTCACATGATCTGTATTAGCCGGTATTAGCCAATAAGATCTAAGCGTTAATCGCACTTCAACTCACTTCAACTAATCCTCAGTCTGAAGGAGCATCATCTCGAGCTAATCAAAGATAGTTCTATTATCTAATCCTTTTATCATCAACTATAAACACGGACTCTCAGAACCTGCTATCTAACAGAACCGGATGCGCTATGCTATGTCTTGTTCTAGCTACGTTCTGAACAATCTGTTTCCGGTGTGGTTCTTCATTTCTTCCCCACTTGCCCACCCCACCAGACTGAAATCGACTGAAATGGTTTATTGCCTTGGTGAGCGCCTGCCAGAAAAAAAGGAAAGAACACTCGACTAACTCAAACGGCTTAGGAGATATGATATAAATTCCTAAAATTTTGAGGCCAAAACTGCAAAATTGGGAGGGGGTATAGGTAAAACTCTATGAATCATTGCAGTAAGGTCCAAACTGACTATACACCATTGGAAAGATGATTGAAAACTGATTCAAACCAACTATGGCAAAAAGAGATGGATTTTTGCTTCCTATTAAAGATATGAAGAAAATTAAGCAGAATATCGTAACTCTCAAAACAAAAATAGATACTCTTTATCTGTCACCAAAGTTGGTTTGCAATTTTCTCTAAGGTCCCTTAACGTTCTCTTATTTTTTTAGAAAGGTAATGTTACAATTTTTCAAAAATATTCTTTTTTCTAGTTTCTCCATGTTAAATAACAAAACAAAATCTTGTTTTAATATTTGAATATTAGCTTGCATGTTTTCTAGAGCTACACCTGACCAGCTAGACCAATCATGATTGTTGCGGAAACAGCAACATCAGTGAGTTTGCTCTATGTCATGTTAATAACTTTCGCTTTAAATAGACTGGAACGGCCTGTTGGAAAGGGCTCCTTTTTGGGGGGAAAGAGAAAGGTGCACACTTCAGCACATGTGACACATTATGCAATTTCGAATCTAGCAAGCACCTCTCTGTCTCTTTGTGTCGGACAAAATAAATGTATATTTTAACCTGGCACGAATCCACCGACTCACTTGGGGAAGATGCCGAGGGGCTCGGGGTCGCCGTGGCTCGACTCGTCCCACAGCGACTGGAAGAACGGCGCCACCTGGTTGTACATGTGGTCCTCGTTGCGGCAACTCACGGCGGTGTCCAGCCACACCGGGTCGTTGGCCTGGTACTTGGCCACGAGGCGGACGGTCCTGCAAGGAAACAACGAGAATAGCAAAAATACAAAAGTGCTTCTCAGATGCGAAAAACAAGGGATGCAAAGGAGGACACTCGTTGGTCTTGGGTGGTATGGGAGGGAGAAAAACATTGAGACAAAGCAGCCTTTAGTTGTTTTGTAATCGGGTCCATATTTTCATTGCCCCTTTCACCAGGTCTGATGCTGTCGCTTTTGTGCGTGATCACGCCAATTATGGCGTTCCCCGAACAGAGACGCTGCAGCACAAATCTACAACATTAGCCTTAATACCAACAAACAGTGCTCTCCTGTAATCCTCCCGTCTTTCCCGCCGGAGTTCCGTTCATTTGTAGAGGGGCAAAAGGTGGGGGGACCGGGGGGGAGGGCGGGTACCACCCAGACCAGGGTCCCAACCCAACCCCGCCGGCGGATGCGCAGCAAAGGGTACGCCGCGGCGCCCTCTGCTTTAGCTTCGTCCGGAAACTAAAAGAGGGAGGTCGCGACCGCCGCCCCGCCCCGCCCCGCCCGGCCCGGCCCTTGTCACCCTTGCGGACTCTCAAATTAACCGTCCGGTCTGGTCCGAGCGTGGCGGTGGGGTAGGAGGGAGGGGAGGGGGGGGGGGCAGGAGCCATGCGAGAGATAAGGAGGGAAAGAAGTCGGCGTTTTAATCCCACCCGTGCTGCTCCCCGCGCGGCGCGCCCGCCTGCAGCGACACACGAGGCCGGGGAGACCTTCCTGGCCGAGCCGCCTCCCGCCCATGGAGCCCGCCCGCCGCCCTGCGGTCCGCATGGCGGTCCGTCGCCCTGACGTTTAACGCGATTCAATTAGGTGAAGGAAACCGGCTAATATGGCCCAGCCCCGGCTCCTCGGGACGAGCGGGCGGGGCTGGGAAGGGGAGGCTGCGGTGGTCTTGCTGCAAGGGAGGCTCAGCCCCCCCCCCTCCCCCTCAGCCCGCCCCCGCGCCCTTCGCCTCCAGCATCCTTGAGCCCGCGTACCTCAGAGGGAGACAGCAAACCCTGGGCTTATTGCGAATCGGAATAGAACAACGCCCCTCTCCCTCCCGCAACCCTTGCCGCCCACCGCCCCCTCGTCCTCCCCGGGCGAGGGTCGCAAATCCGCACTCAGTTGCCCAGCTTCCGAAGCGAAACCCTTCCTTATCCCCCATGTAGCGTGCCGGGCGGGGATTTCATTTGGCATGGCATTGCATAACCCCGTGGCCACGAGGGCCTCGGCACGGAGGCCAGGCCTCGCCACGAGGGTCGTCCTGCAAAGGGCACTCTGTGCGGGAGCCCAGCGGCCGCCAGACCGCGCCGCGCACCAGCGCACCACAAGAGGGCCTCCCCCGCCTCTCCGCACCTCGAGCACCCGCCCACCCGCTCAGTACGGCCCGGTCCCCGGCAGCCAGCGGCAGCCGCCGGGAAACGTATGATGTGTCGTCTTTCTTTGTCGTGCTCACCTTCTCGTCTTCAGCTTCCGGTCGTCGAGCTCCAGGGCCACTTTAAGAGTGCACGACATCCAGTGGTCCTGGCCGTAGCCACCCACGGGACGGATGTCATGGCTGAGGACGGCCACGTCCTCGCCCAGGGCGCCGTCGGTGACCAGCGCGGGAATCACCTGATCCACGAAGTGGTTCCCATTTTCCTCGGTGTGCGGTGCCGGCCCTCCCGCGGGCCAACCGCTAACGAAAGAAACAGAGGAAGGGATATGAGGCCTAACAGTTTTTCCTACAAAACACATCATCAGTTGTTTTATCAATTTCCTCCCAAATGAAATGTTAATCCTTATTGATTTGAGAATAAGAACACATATTTAAGGCTCTAAAAATCAGATTCACATGAACACATTACTCAGAAGACTAAAAACCGGTATAAGTCGGCATAAAAATTCAACTCAAATACTTGATCATTTCCACCTAAGAGTATTTGTGTTGTTTTTTTCTCGGATTACTCAAGGTTTGTCGGAGGATGCGTTAAGTAAAATGGGAACGCTGGATGATTTCCGGCAACGATGTCAGTTGGTGGGGACAGAAGACGATCAAACGTCGATACGACCCTCACCGGATTTGATCTTTTTCGGTTATTTCTTCATACTTCCCGCCTTTAGGCCCACCGCCTTCGATTGTCCCGCGCGCTTCCAACAGAAGCGCGCCGCGCCTTCAGCTGTTGACGGCCGCTGCCGCTGCCGCCGCCGCCGCAACAGCGCTCCCCGCAGCCATGGGCGACATAACCTAAACGCAACTATGACAGCTGAGCGGGAGCGGCCGACAGGCTCGCGGGTGCCGAAGGCGCGCGTCGGCAACCAACCAGCGTTGTCACTGACCTCTGCGAAGACGCCATGGACACCGAAGGTGAAGGACGCGTCGGGGGCCAGCGCGTCTACGCTGTCGGTGTCGGCGGCCTGATCTGCGGCTGCCGCCTGCTACGCACTAGCCAGATCAGCTGTACGGCGGCCACAGTGCTGCCGCCGCTCCCCGCCCCGCCCCGCCCGGCCCGCCCGAGGCCCAAGGTCCCCGCCGCCTGAGTAAGTTGAGGCATCCCCACTACTTTCATTCCATGTCAATCTTCTCTTGCCTGCCTGCCCCCTCTTCCCCTGCCCCTCCTGCTCATCGAGCACGTCCAGCTCGCTGTCGGGCGCGGGCGCGAACCGATGCGAACCCTGTCTTCTAAAACTGAATGTGATCGATCTGCAGAACACTGTTAGAAATTCCGTAGGCTAAATACGGAATCCTTTCGGTACTCTCCGTAAATTCCACATACGGTACCAGACCGTAACTGGATGATTGTAATTTAGAGATACGGACTTGTCCGTATTTCAAAGAACGATGCACCCCGTACATTTTCCCCGTCAAATTATATATCAAATAAATAATATTTGAAACAAATAGTTTAAACAATCGGGCTCTCTATAGAGTTTCATGTTATTGCCTATTTCGCAAAATCATAACTTAGGACTCTCTAGTCTCTCAAAATCCAATTCTTTGACTCATAGTGTAATTTATAATTTATCCTACGCAATAAGTCAAAATTTTACGGAAAGAATTACGGTCTATCCGTCACTTAAGAGCGGTCTTTCAATATGGTTTCCGTAGAAAATACGGAAAAATTACGGTACGTCTAATGGAAGAAATGCATGGGAAACGTCATGGTTTTCCAAACATCAGGGAAACAAGGACGTCGTTTTTACCGTGTAAGCACCGGCTCGAAGGAGCTGTCAGGAGCGCGCAGAATTTCGCGCATCCGCGCGGAACCGCGAGCGTCCCCGTGGAACCGCGGGGTATGTGCGAAATCCTGCGCGCTCGCGACAGGCCTACGAGCCAGCGCGTATGCAGCCCGCCATACTAGCATGTAAGAGCCGGGATCCCCAGTACATTCCTGGCAAAAAAAATTATTGTCAATCCCGCAGAAAATTCCGTGGAAAGTTTTTACAGTGAGCGTCGTGCAGTCGGGCGGCCACTTTTGATCTTGAGTCGTTCGGAGAATGCGGGGGCGAGCCAGCGATAAGGGGAGGAAAGGCCGTGTTTATTACCTGCCTGATACCGCGGCCATCGAACTTGTATTTGTTGGCGAGAACTGATAAACTGACGCCGACTCCGTGTAGAAAGAAAATTATATAACAAGATTCAACAATCTTCAACTGCAGTAGTTGTGAAAGAAAATGCACAGCCCACGGGGACGGTGTGGAGGGAATGACCGAAATGACTGACAGTTCAAGATATTTGTTATCGATAGCTACTACTCCTGCTCTTAGAACTTCCGACAGTTTTATCACCACATTCATGGCTGCTTTTTTCGCCAGTCGCCCAGCCTTTCTTTCCTTATCAGGCCTCCCACACACAGAGAGAGTGCGGCTCTTGTTCCGTCAGGTGCGGCTGGGACAGGCTGGGA